ATGCACCCATTCGGCTCATCTTCAGTGGAGTCCGCCTCTGGGCCAGCCTCATCCTCTGGGTGCACACACTCACCCCTGACCGGATGCGACCCTTGTAAACGTGGGCTCCAGCCAGCGCTCTGTCCCTCCTGCCTGCTGGCCCGGCCCATGTGTGGAGCCAGGGGGGCCTTTGATGAGGATCTGGGAGGCATGGGCCCAGGGCTGTGGAGGGTCTCCAAGTGGCTGGCACGGCCTCTGCATCCTGAGCCGCTCAGGGCCTTGGAGCCGGTGTTCCCAGGAGCCCCCAAGATTCCAGCAGGAGGCAGAGGCGGCTGTCCTGCCCTGACTTGGGCCGCAGCACAGGGCTTTCCTGCCACAGAAATGAGTTCCAGGTGGGCCAAGCCCGAGTGGCTGTGGTCGTGGGGTGCCCACTCTGTGGGCATACGGGCCCCTCCCCTTGGAGGAGAGCCAACCCGTCCCCAGGAACTTCTGTGAGGGGGTGTGGGGCCCCTGTGAAGCCTGGACAGCTGGTGGAGTCACGGAGCCACAGGTGGGCGCTGATCCTCTGGTGCAGGGGCTGGAGAGGCTGCACGGAAGTCCCTGGCCAACCCCTCCCTTCGCTCCTGGGGCTGAGATGAGACACACGGCTCTCCTGTGCTCGGCGCGGGGTGAATTGCCCAGGGAGCAAATCATAGCTTCTGCTTCCCAGAGTACACGCACTGGGACAAGGCAGGCGGCGGGCGGCGGCCAGCGTGTAGAACACACCACACCAGACACCGCCACTGTCGAGGCCCCCAGTGAAATTAACCCTCTGCATGCCCTTGTGGTGGGAGCAAGGCCACGCCTCCCAGGAGAGGGACTAGGGCTCAGAAGGCAAAGGGATGGCCACGGTGGCCACGCCAGTGAGAGCCAGGACAGTGAGAGCCACGCCTGAGCTGTTGGCCCCCGTGGGCTCTGCCTTTCGCTGGTGTTCTCATGGGGCTGGCTTTGCCCCTGGGTGCTTGGTTAGGGGGTGCTGCTGGCATCCAGAGGGTGGGCCAGGGGGCTGCCACATGCCTCAATGTGCAGGACACTCCGAACTGAGAATCGTCACATTTCAACTGTAGGGCACCGGGGCACTCTGCTCCAACCACTACCTGCAGTGGCTGAGGGTCAGTTTCCCTGCCTTCACCCTAGACGCCCTTGGGCTGGAGATGGGGGGAAGCCGCCTCTCCCAGCTGCCTGCCTCTGGTCCCAGGGTGGAACCCTTCTTACCCAGGTTCTGAACCAACTCTGGAAGAGGGAACCAATGCTGAAAGACAGAAAGGAAATGGATTTGTATTTATTTATTTGTAGAGAGGGGGCGGGGGGATGTCTCACTATGTTGCCCAGGCTGGTTTTGAACTCTTGGCCTCAAGCAATCCTCCTGCCTCAGCCTCTGAAAGTGTTGGGATCCCAGGTGTGGAAACAGTTATTGGGGCCATGAGTGCTAGGGGCCACACCTGGCACCTCTAAGCCCATAATTTATCCTTGTAACAGCCCTTGGGCTTCGAGGAAACCAGTAGTGCCTGGCCCTCCACGCCCCTCCCCAGCCCTCCGGTTTATTAACCAGTGAGGAAACTGAGGCTCAGACAGGCTAACATGCTCAAGGTCGCGGGGCTGAGACGTGACCCGTGGGCCTGGACCCCAGCCCGGCTCTCAGGTTCCTGGTCTCCACACATCGGACCATTTTTCTGTAAGGAAGCTCTGATGGCTCTGCTGGAGGCAACTCCGAGAGAAAAGCCCACCACGCCCCCCCCCTTAATTTGAGAATTGCATCTATACCCTGATGTGATTGCTCCACCCCATGGAAAGTCCACGTTATTTTGTGGGGCAAGGAGAGTTGTAAGACGGCTTTTACCGTCCCAGAGCAGGTTCCCAGTGTAACCCTACTCCTCTTGACGGTCCCGGGAGGCTGCAGGGGCAGATGTCCCCACTTTACACCTTTGGGGGGCCAGGACTGGGCCACAGGCCTCCTGCCGCTGGCCCCAGGCCTCGCCTGCCCACGCCAGGGCTCCTTCCCTGCAGCTCCCTGCCTGGCCGGCAGCCTGACCTTCACAGTTGCTCGAGCCCCAGTGACTCACGGAGGGTTAAGCCACACAGCCTCTTTTATGGGTGGCAACCACTTAAGGCGCCCTGTAAAAAGGGGCCCTCACCCACCAGCTGCTTTCCCCTGTGGGGGAGCGGGGCGGCCAGCCTCTGGTCCTGGAGGCATCTCTGGGACTGGGGTAGTTCTGGCCGCCTCCGAATGTCATGGGAGAAGGGAACTCTGCCGCAGCCCCAGGAAGGGGCCCGTGGGCGTCTGACCCAGGGGAGCGCTGGCCCCTTGTGCCCATCACGCGCTGAGCCGCTTTCTCCCCACAGCTAAGCTGTGCATTCATGACCTCATCTAATTCTTACGACCCATGGAATCCGGGGTGTCCTGTCAACCATGTGTGGAAGGAGAGGCTCGGGGCGTGTTGGGCTGGGCAGACTCGGACCTGGCTCCAGGCCGCCTGCACCCCTCGTCCCCCACCCTGCTCCAAAGCTGGAGTCATCGCATGCTCCCTGCCTTGGCGTGCTGAGGAGCCTGGCTGGCAGGGCAGTCGCTCCCCAGAAGGGACCTCTTTGAAACAGCACCGCGGGCTGAAGCCGTGGACCAACGGTGGGGCGGCCTTTCCCTGTGTCCTCCCAGGCCGGGGGCCAGCCCCTCCAGCCCTCGCAGGGTTAAACGGTGCCCTTTCCGCGGCTCAAGGCTGAGCAAAGGCTGGCAGGGAACAAGCCCAGCCTTGGGCAAACAGGAGGGCCGGCCCCTCCCAGGCATCCGCCGCCTCAGAGGCTTTGTCTGGCTTGGAGTCCCCACCTGCTTTCTTCACTCAGGCGGTTGCTCCAGAAGTTGGGGGTGGGAAAGCAGCCAGTGGGTGCGAAAGAAGGGAGGCCCGACTTGAAGGGGCTTCCTTCTCGGAGGCTGAGCATCCACGAGGCTTCCAGAAGGGAGCTTGAGCCCCAGCACGGTCAGCGTCTTCTCACTTCCCAGGGGAAGCTGAGGCCCAGTGTTGCTTCTGGTTCAGGTTGTCCAGGGAGGTGAGATGCCCCTCTGACTGACCCCGGCCTGTGATCAAGCCTGTTCTGTGCCAAGTGCCCAATGAACGCAAGCCCTTTGCTCTGCACCCAGTGTGTGTGTGTGTGTGGGGGGGGCATGATCAGCTGCGATTTGCATACAAGGAAACTGGGCTTCAGAGAGGTTGGGCCACCTGCCTGGGCTAGTGCTGGCTTTACTGCAAGTGGGAGAGCTGGAATCCACCCGTTCTTCTGGCTTCAGAGCTCCCACCTGGAGCCAGGAGGTGGACTCCTGCCCGGCCTCCCCCATGGCCCGTCCCCCATGGTCCCCCACGGCCCCAGCACCCACCATTCCCACCTGACTGCCCTTCCTTCTCCATGCCCCCAGGCGAATTCATCCCAGTGCTCACCAAGCAGCCGGGCAATGGTGCTAATGGTAGTCTGAGTCTGCGTATCTGGCCTCATCCTGCCCCTGATCACGGCTCTGTTCCAGTTCGAGAAGGGGGCCCAGCCCATCCTGGGGCTGAGAAGTGTGTGCTGAATAAACAAGTGCACGGACACATTTGATGCTTTCCAGAGCGCCCTTGTCCGCCACAGGCTCTGCACAGACAGAGGGACAGCGACCAAATCAGGCAGGGGCATCAGGGGTGGACTCGGGTGGCCCTTTCAGGCCTTGGACGCTGGTGACATCGGAGGATGTGAGATTGCCCCATAGGCCAGACTGCCCGTGATCTGCTGCTGTAAATCAAAATCCTTTCCCTGCCCCAGCGTCTTGTCAAGAGCATGTTGCTTCTATGGCTCCAGGGCAAGGCCCAACAGCCTTCTGGGAGGAGACTGCCCTTCCTTTAAATGTCTGAATGCAGGGCAGGGGACTCTGGTCTGAATATGGCGGGGGGTCACTTGGGTGTAGAGACATTGAAAATGCCTGATGATTTAGGGGGCATTTCTTCATCTTATTTTTGAGGCAGGGTCTTGCTCTGTTGCCCATGCTGGAGGGCAGTGGAGTGATCACAGCTCACTGCAGCCTCGACCTCCTGGGTTTGAGCAATCTTCCCACCTCGTCCTCTTGAGTAGCTGGGACTACAGGTGTACGCTACCATGCCCACCTATTTTTTTGCTTTTGTAGAGGTGGAGTCTTGCTATGTTGCCCGGACTGTTTGAACTCCTGGGCTCAAACAATCCTCCTGTCTTGGCCGCCCAAATTGCTGGGATGACAGGCATGAGCCACCAGGCCTGGCCTGGAACGTTTCTAAAGTTTAACATCTTTACGTTGTTTAAAAAACCTAGACAGGCCCATGGAAGAAAGCTCTTCTCCTGAGCCCTTTACGGAGAAGCGGCCCCACAGAGAGGAAACCGCCTTTGGGTCAGCCTGGGAGCCACTTCAGTGCTCCAGGACCCCAGCAGGAGGAAAGGCAGCCACCATTTTGGCCAGAGCGGGAGGTTTTAATTTTCCTTCGAGAAAGGGGCAGTGAGTGCAGAGAGAGCATGTGACGATGCTGGACACCTGGGAGCCCTGCTGACTGTGGCCAGGCCCTTGACCTACCCAGGACACCCGTCACTGGTGTCGTGCGCGAGTTCCGTCGGGGCCCAGGGGTGCTGGGTCGTGCCGCCGTGGGTGGATCGTCCTGGACCGAAATCACACTTTAAACACCATCTCTCCGGCATTTTCACTTTGTGAAAAAACCTGGACGCTGGCCAGGTGCGCCCTGGAGCAGCTATTGCGTCTTCTCCCGCTTTGCTCCTGATCGGAGATTATTCATTTATGAACGGGGGCTGTAAAAACCTGCCTCATGCACAGGAAAGCTGAACCCGGGAGCTTGGTCACTGGGAGCTCTGCTTCCACGGAAAAGGCTGTGGCAGTGGGCGGAAGGGCGGGTCCCCTGGTCTCTCTGCACCCTGTCTCCTGCACCCAGAAGTGCTGCCCGCGGAGGCCCTGTCTGAGCGTTGTCTGACCCTTGCAGATCATGATTCTGGAAGGAGGCGGTGTGATGAATCCCAACCACGGCAGCAATCTCCTGCAGCAGCAGCCGGCCTGGACCGACGGCTATGCCGCGTGCAATGGTAAGGCACCACGTGGCGCGGGAGCACGTTCTCCATTCAGGCCCCTCCCAGGGGCAGCTGGAAAGGGCAGGCATTACCGGCAGAGGGAGTGGACGGGGGTGACGGAGGACCCAGTTCAGGCTGTGTACCCCTCGGGCCCACTGGGTTTGGACAAAAGCCCGTGTGAGGGTCCATGTCTCCTCCCAAGTTCAGGGCTCCGGTGGGCGGCCTGGCAGCAATGGGTGGAGACACGCCCAGTAGGGAGACCCTGTCGATGCTTTGAGCAGTGTTTTGCTGGGCTAGCAGGATGGGTGGGAGAGAGGGTGTGTGTAAGCGTGTGTGTGCACTGTGCATGTGTTCCATGCGTGTGTGTGCACAGAGCTTAAGGGGGGTTAGAGCAGCGCGTTCTCCCTGCTTTCTCTCCCGGGGACCACTCCTTGGTGAGAAGAGAGGAGACTGCAAGGAGAGGAGGAGCCCCTAGTTCTTTGGTCTGAAGCACACCCAATTGAGGGCCTGGGGGGGCCCGGTGGCTCTGGTGATTGAGCGTGGCCCACATAGAAGCTGAGCGGACTACAGTCATCGCTGGACCAGCCCCTCGTCCGTCGGGGAGGCTGAGAGTTAAGCGATGACTGTGCTTCCGGCCGTGACGAGATCACGGAGCCTCACCCCCTCCACCCCACTCCCTTGTCCACTGCCACTCCCGTTTGTCTTGGAACCTGAAAACGGCGCATCAGCGACCAGAGATGCCGGAGCGCGGGTGTGGGTGGGCAGCGGTGGGGGGGTTACATCCTCCCAGGGTCCCCACCCCTTCTAACTTGGGACCCTCGTCTAGCATGGTTGAGAAGGCAGCAGGCAACCTTCTCTCTTCGGTGCCCCGACCTCCAACCTGCTGCCCTCTCTAGGCAGCCACAGGGGGCTTCCAAGTAGAGCAGGGCATCTCGGTCGTCCCCGCCCTGGAGCCTCGGTGAAGGAGCCTTCCTCTGGGTGGCCTGAGAGACAGCTGAGGACTGCCTAGCAGGGTGCAGTATCAGGGCACCACTTTTACTGCCCGAGTCCCAGAGGCCCTGGGGAGGCCCAGCTCTTGATCAGGACTGAAGGGAGTGGAGGCCAGTTGCGCGACAGAGCAGATAGGACCGCAAGGGTCTCCGTGTCCCCCGAAGGTTCAGGACCCGGGAGGGCCTCTGCCTGAGGGGGCAACTCCCAGCCAGCCTCAGACCGAACTCCCTGCATGTCTGAGCAGGACTCTGTCGGGAGCATTCCTTGAACTGAGATCAAATTAAGCTTGCATGAGAGGTCATTCTAGGCCTGCTGTTGGGTCACTGAGGGTGGTCCCTCTTGTCGACAAGCCCAGGGCTCGGGTGTCATAGCAACACAGCCATTGAGAAAAAAGGATCCAAGACTTGGGAAGCACAAGACACTCGTCCATCCTTCAGCGGCTGTTGGTGAGGCCCCGGGAAGCGGGGCGAGTTCACGGCGAGCACGCCTGTCCAAGCCCTGTGTGTCTTTGGGGACCTTTCTCAACAGAAGGCTTGGGCTCCATTTCTCCAATCCTCCCCTACTAGCCTCCTCCTTGAGCTGAACCAAAGGTCGAGGGATGAGGGCTGCAGCTGACTGTGGCGGCAGGTGTTCCCAGAGTGGCCACCTTTGGGCCTAAATGACCTTGACATCCTGTGGGTGGTGCTCCCGGGGCCTGTGCACAGTGGGCTGAATCTGAAGGGGAGTCGACACCCCATCCAGCCTCTCCTTCGGGGAGTCGAGGCTGGGCCATGGCGTTTTGGGATTAAACCCCCTGAAGCCAGCGGCCCTGTCACCTGGGCGCTTGCTAGGAATGCAGACATGCGGCCCTGCCCTGGCCTACCGCTTGGGTCTGCATTTGGACAATATTCCCTGGTGATTCACAGTCACATGGGGTTTGAGAACTGACCTAGCATGACCCTCAAGGAAAGCAAGGGCCGGTGTCCTTGTGCCAGGGCTCCTCTCTGGTCCATCATGAGTTTGTGGGGCATCGAGGGTGGTGCGAGATTTCCCACTCCTCCGTGGGCAGCAGTGGCCCATGCTTTGGCGGGTGGAAGGTCTCCCAGCCCTCTCATGCCCAGAGACTGGCTCTCCTCTCCATCCCCTGGACTTCGAGGAATGTTCTTTGAGGGGCACACGAGTCACACACAGGTGGCTGGTGTGCATCGGGCCCAGCAGCAGTAACTGACTTGCACGACCCACCCGTCCTCGCCCGTGTCTGTGTGAACGCACCTCGCTCCCCCTCTGGGGCTGTGGTTTCTCCCCTGTGAGCCGCAGTGAGGATCCACTGTGTGAGGCCCCGGGTCGTTCCCACTGGTTTTGCACAGAGGAGCGAGGCAGCGCCTGGGCCTTGAGCTCACAGTTTGCAAAGGGGAATGAGACGTCCCAGGAGACCTGCAGAGACAGGCAGGACTGACAGCCAAGGCAGGAGTGCCCATCTCCTGCAGCCTCAGAGCACAGTGGCCCCGCGGGAGGCTGGGGATCAGAGGAGGCTTTTCGGGAGGCCAGCTCTTAGGGTATCCGTAGGAGGTGGGAGAGCAGGGTAGAGGAAAGACAAGCCGCCGGCCCTCAACCAGAGTGGGGAGCTCAAAGCCTGGTGGGCGGTCTCGTGCCCGACGCGAGGATGGAGAGCCAGGGAGGAAGGGATGTCATGCCAGCTGAGGCTGCCCCGTGGGGCAGTGGGGACCAGCCCAGCCAGTGGACACATCAGCAGGACCCATGGGAGAAACACGGCGCCGTGGGGGGAGAGTCTTGACTTCACCCGTACTGTTGGTGGAAAACGGTCTGGATTGGGGGGCTGTCTGCCAGGGAGAAGGGGGCCCACTGTGCCTTCTGTAGACCATGGGAATGCCAGGCCAGCTCCCCAGCAATGCCTTGGCCCTGGGCATTTTATCAGGGGCTGTGGGGAGCGAGGGCCCTCGAGGCCCCGCTTCCATCCGAGGCCCAGGGCATGTGGTGCCCAGGAGGACGGGGAGATGAGGCAGCTAAGGACAGGCCCGTGCGTCTGCACCAGACCCCCGCTGCCGGCACTCACATGACATGGCAGTGTCCCTGGGACCCCCCAGCAGCCAGCAGGGCACTTGCATTGGGTGCCGGACCACCCTGGGGTCACCCGCAGGTGCCTCCTGTCTTGCAGTGCCTGGTGGGTTTTTCGGCAGCCAGTGGCATGAGACCCACCCCCAGTATTGGAGCAAGTACCAGGTGTGGGAGTGGCTGCAGCACCTGCTGGACACCAACCAGCTGGACGCCAGCTGCATCCCCTTCCAGGAGTTCGATGTGGACGGCGAGCACCTGTGTGGCATGAGCCTGCAGGAGTTTTCCCGTGCGGCGGGTGCGGCCGGCCCACTGCTCTACGGCAGCCTGCAGAACCTCAGGTGGAGCGGTGAGTCCCCTGGCGCCAGCCCCTCAGGGGATAGTGAGTACCCCCACCCCATCCAGCACCCCAAGGGGAAATCCCCCACCCCAACTCCCCTGCCTGTGCAGATCCCCAACCCGCCATCCCCAGACGGCCGGAAGGGTGGGGGGTCACAGCCAGGCCCCCTTCCAGGACCACAAAGGGGGTCTCACCTCCAAATGACTGGGAGGGGGCGGGGAGCTGAGCACCAGGATGGAGGCCAAGGGCATAGGTGCGTCGAATCCCTTAGAAACACCTGTAGTTCAGTGATTGCCTCATGGCGATGGCACTTTCCAAGGTACCGAGAGCTGACCGGGCCTCCTAGGACAGTTGCCATTCTCAGAAAGTCTCTCCTTCTTTCCTTTGCAAATAGCATTCTTAGTTTCATGCCAGTCACTTGTTTGTTAAAGGTCATCGTGGCTACTTTAGAAAACACAAAAACACTTCTCGACCCAGATTCTTTCCAGGGAGGCCCAGGGTGGTGAGATGGCTCGTGGAGTCAGACCCGCATGTGTGCTTGGGAAGGGCACAGCTGGGACACATGGTGTGGGACGCTCTGCCCTGATTTCTGGAGTTTCTGCAGCCTGAATGGCCCAGGTGTCTTTGAGCCCTCCCCCACGCGGAGCAGACCACGTTCCAGATGTGGCCTTGGGTGGTAGGCTGTTCACACACACACACATCCCATGACTCATGGACCCAGCCACTGGGAGGCTATTTAGGACGGCCCCTTGAATGACTCCATGTGTAAAAGTACACATCTACACGGGATGAATTGGGTGTGTTTCCCTCTCCAGACAGCTTATGAGGTCCAATAATTTAGGTTCACAAACCATCCTAGAAAAAATGCTCCAGGCCGGGCTTGGTGTCTCAGCCTGTCATCCCAGCACTTTAGGAGTTCGAGGCAAGTGGATTGCCTGAGCCCATGGGCTTGAGACCAGTCCGGGAAACTTGGCGAGACCTTACCTCTACAATAAATCAAAAATTAGCCAGGCGCTATAGTGTACACCTGTAGTTCCAGCTACTTGGAAGGCTGAGGTGGAAGGACCACCGGAACCCAGAAGGTCGACACTGGGGTGGCCGTAAGTGTGCCACTGCACTCCAGCCTGGGTGCTGGGTGACGGAGTAAGACTCCAACTCAAAAAAAAAAAAGAAAGAAAAAGTGTTCCATGGCTCATGGCTGAGCATCACCATGGTCACCTTTGAAGTGCACCCCTTGGGAAGCTATGCGTCGACGCCAGCACCTAGCACACCCATCAAAGCAGTTTTGGACCTCTTTTTCGAGAATGACCATCAGAGCTGTCGTCGTTATTTGTTGAGGTCTGACCATCAAGTCTGCGAATTTGCTATGTGTGCTTATGTGAGCAGCTCTGTGCAAACAACTGCTTTGGAACATCCTCCCTCCTCACCTGATCTGGCCCCCGGTAACTTTTTTCTTTACCTGAAGATAAAGGGAATGTGGAAAGGAAGATGACAGATGGCATTCAGGACATCAAGGATCATACTACAATAGTTCTGATGACTATTCCATCAAAGGGTGGGCTAGACGCTGGCATCAGTGCCTGGCTTCTCAAGGGGATTACTTTGAACCTGACCGTAGTGATTTTCAGCACTGAGGTATGGAGAACTTTTTCTAGGATGGTTCAGGAACCTGATGGTTGGAGCTCCTATAACTATCTCAGGATCAGGAGTCACACCCCTGACCTCTCTAACCTCCAAGACGGGCAACACATCTTGAAGCATGCTTGTGTCACGAGCATAAGGTTCCCCCGATAGTGGCTGTGAAGCGTCCGCTCCCCTGGGAACCCGGGGTATCTTGGAAGGCAGCATGTTGAGGGCGGCCAGCCAGCCCACCCACACTGGAGAGGCCACTGAGTCCTGCAGAGCTGTATCCGAGCAGGTCACGGGGTCAGAAGCCACCGCCAAGGGCCGTGAGTCGCCAGACTCCACAGATGCCGGCCTCACTGGGAGGCCCGTGTGGTTGGGTGACCTCACAGGCTGGGGCACTCCCTCCTTCCCACCCAGCTTTCCGCAGAAGCTTCTCGTTTTTTTTTTTTTACTAGAATCAAACCAAACAAAGTGCTATAAATAACCCCCAGGAATCTTCAGAAAGCACAGACTTATCCTGGAAGAATTAAAAATATTTGCCTCCCGCCTCCAATGAATCCACTCCTTTAAAGCTCTGCCCTGACAGAAGCCTGAGGCAGGGAGGCGGGAAGAGGCGGTGCCCTCTCTGACCCTCCGTGACCTGTGGGTTCTCACCACGGGCGTCCAGCGGCTTCTCACCCGTGTTTTCTTATTTGCCTCTCTGTGACACTCTAACCTTGACTTACACCAGGCACTCTAAGGGAATTGATTCATCTAATGACCTTAAGACAAAATAAAAGCCGTGTCCACTTTACAGATGGGAAGACTGGAGGTCAGAGAGGTTAGAGGCGTGACCTCCGCTCCTGAGATGTTGCCACTGCTCCGGGGAGTGGAAACATGTGTGTTCCATCTCATGTAGATGTGTGCTTTTGTGCGTGGCACAGCCCGGAAGGGCACGTGATGGGCACACGGTGCACGTGGACTGAGGCCAGAGTAGGAAGGAGCCATGGCCGCTGACCAGGCGCCTCTCACAGGCCGAATCTGATCACGACGGTGGAGCAGGTCGAGGTCGAGGGAGAGTTCAGCTTGTCACGCTGAAGCGGCTTCCCTGCAACTCTGCTTCCTGTCCTATCACACCTTAGCATGGGAAGCACCGACAGGGCCCCAGGGACCTGATCCAGCTTGATCCCGGAACGTACAGAGGGGGAAACTGAGGCCCAGAAAGCTGGAGGGCACACACCTCCCTCCTAGCTGGTCTTGTGGAGTCCTGACCCCGAAGTTCTGTGTCCCATGCTTGGCACCCTCTTGAGAACTCACCTGGGAGTGGCATCTGGGGTGGGCCTGGCCTCCCAACACCCTAGGGTCGGGGACTGCAGGCTTGATTTCCAGAGGCTGCAGGGCAGGCCCGCCTGTAAGCCCGCACAGGTGGCCAGGCCGGGGTGGCAGAAGCCCCTTGAAGCAGCCCTGGCCTCAATGGAGCCTGTAGGCCCGCCTCTATGCAGGCCCCTGACTGTCCCCACCTGTCCACACAGGCCAGTGCGGCAGCGACCTGTTCCCGGCCACACACAACGTCATTGTCAAGACTGAACAAACCGGTGAGTGGCAGCATTCGAGGACCGTCCCTCTGGCCAGGCAGAGGCAGGGGCCCCAGCTGGGAGAGGCAGGAGAGAGCGCAGGCAGGCATGTGGAGGCCAGGGAGGCCCCTTCCCGGCCGTTCCCCATGCGCTGCCCACCCTGGTGTCCGACTCAGGCTGGTGGCGAGCCCCCGTGCCCTGGCTTCTCTGCCTCCTGCGCTGGGTAGGACACCATCCACCCGCAGGCCATGTGGGGGGCTCCTCCCCGCAGGAGGGGGCAGGCTTGGCCCCCCTGAGTCTGCATGCGCCAGAGAGGAAGAGGGGAGCATCGAGGCCCCCCCTTGGGAACATCTCACAGGGAGGTTGGGTGGGCCCCACAGACCAGGAACCCTTGGGCTTCCGTGGAGACGCCCAGCTCGACGCCCAGCTCCTGCTGGGGTGAGCTCTACGGAAAGACACTCTCCCGGCTCTGAGCAGGTCTGTAGCTCCACAGCATCCTCATTCAGTGTCGTCCCCATCCCTGTCTCAGATCTCTTCTTGAGCCTCTACCCCAAAGCCCCCCATGGTGAGACCGCTCCTGGGTCACCCCGCGTCCAGCCTGGAAGCCTTGTGGCCGACCACATGTGCCTGGCCTCCCTGAGGATGCCTGCTGGTCACCAATGACAGATGTGACCTGGGGGTGCTCTGTGAGCCACTTGGAGCCAGGGCTGGCTGTGCGTCACTGACTCTTTTATGAGGGGCTGGTCCACACTATTAAAGAGAAAAGCAATCGCTGCAAAGCACATTAACGAAGCTTTCCTAGCCCCACCCTCTCCAGAGGCCAGAGGAGGCCATCCGGGTGGTCTGCGCCCTGTGGGCCACCAGTGCCCTCGAAGCAGAGCGTGGCCGAGGGGAAGGTGTCCCTCACCTGCCTGACCCGACAAAGGCCCCCAGGAGCTGGGTGACCATGGAGAGCTCACATAACTAGATGGCCCCTCCTTAGCCATCTGGACATTCTGGTGAGGCCGGTCCAGGAGGCTGACCTGGAGAGGCCCCCCCGGGCGAGGGAGGATAGGCGTGGCAGAGCCCACACCCCCAAACCCTCGGGTCCAGGTTGTTTTCAGAGACAACAACAGGTGTGCAAGGTGACCCAACCCGGACAGAGGGTGTAACCCCAAGAGCCTGGGCTCAGGGTATCCAAACACGCAACTATTAGCCACAATGCCGGCTAAATCCCAATGTCGTAAGCAGGAGGACTTAGCCAGCGAGTCCAGCCCTCTCCATTGTGCTATGAAAACCAAACGAAACCCGGCCAGTGGCCTCCCCTAAAACTCAGAGCCCGAGCAGGACAGGAGCTGGGTCTGTGGCCAGGGAAAACAGGACGTTCCTGGGGGCAGGGGGGAAGGGCCTCGGGCTCCTGACCTGCCAAGGGAGAAGCTTCTGCTGGAGGCTGGCACACGCAGGGCGGAGTGGGAGGGGAGTTTCCTTAGAACCCGAAGCCTTGGCTGAAGTGAGGCGTGCTTACCCAGCACACGAGAGAGACAGAGACAGAGAGAGAGAGACAAAGAGAGAGAGACAGAGGGAGAGAGAAAGACAAAGAGAGGCAGAGAGGCAGAGAGAGATGAGAAAGAGAGAGAGAGAGAGAAAGGGAGAGACAGACAGAGAGACAGAGAAAGAAAGACAGAGAGAGACAGAGACAGAGAAAGGGAGAGAGACAGAGAGAAAGAAAGGGAGAGACAGAGTGACAGAGAGACAGAGGGGCAGAGAGAGAAAGGGAGAGAGAAAGAGAGAGACAGACAGAGAAAGCGAGAAAGGGAAAGAGAGACAGAGAAACGGAGACAGAGAGAGAGAAAGGGAGAGAGAGAGAGAGAGAGAGGCAGAAAGTCAGAGAGAGAGAAAGGGAGAGACAGAGAGAGAAAGAAATAGAGAGACAGAGAGAGAGACACACACATTGAGACAGAGAGAGAGAAACAGAGACAGAAGGAGAGAGGGAGAGAGAAAGAGGCAGAGAGACAGAAAGAGAGACAGGAAAAGAGATACAGAGGGAAAGGGAGAGAGAGAGATAGACAGAGAGAGGCAGAAAGACAGAGAGAGAAAGGGAGAGATAGAGACAAAGAAACAGAGAGAGAGATAGAGAAAGAAACAGAGACAGAAGACAGAGAGAGACAGAGAAATAGAAAAACAGAGACAGGACAGAGGGACAGAGAGAGACAGAGAGAGAGACAGAGAGACATTGAGACAGAGAGAGAGAGACAGACAGACAGAGAAACAATGAGACAGAGGGACAGAGAGAGAAAGGGAGAGACAGAAACAGAGACAAAGAGACACAGAGAGACAGACAGAGAGACAGAAAGCGACAGAGAGACAGAAAGCGACAAAGAGACAGAGAGCGAGAGCTCACACCCTCCCTCCTGAGATGAGCCACAGCTCCACTCCCAATGTTGTTTGTTGACTCGGTGACATTCCTGTCCCCTTCCTGGTTTCACCTGGAGAGCTGATGTTGCCCCTTAAGCCTGGCACCCAACTGAGGGAAACACTCCAGATTTCACCCACGGAGAGATGGTGATAAGATTGACTAGACCTTTTCTGGAAGAAAAATCATTCACCCTCCCAGAAAGACATTAACAGGCAAAGATGCTAATCGATTACTCACTATGAATTTCAATACACCTATTCCTAGCAAAACGTCCCCCCACGAAACCAGGGGTAAAACAGTTTGGGTGGTTGTCTTGTAGGACACAGGGAGAACTCCCAGGAGCCCTGGCGGGTCTAGGGCAGGATCTGCCATGGGTCTGTGTCGGGACCCCTCAGTTGCAGCCTCTCCCTCTGCCCTGGCCATGCAGCAGGGCACAGCCCACCCTCCCCACCTCCCTGGTCGCTGAGAGACAGGGGTGGCCTTGCCATAGAGCAACAGGCCAGGCAGAACTGCGTCTCCTTTCCGAGGACCTGCCCACCAGCCCAGGTGGGCAGGAACCTGGCAGTGGCCGCCTGGTCACCGGGAGAGTGACTGCTGACACTCAGTCTTCGGTCCTTTCCAGACCCTCCCGTCATGAACACCTGGAAGGACGAGAGCTACTTATATGACAGCAGCTATGGGGGCACAGTAGGTAACTACCACCCAACCCGCCCCGCCGCCCGGACTTCTGTTGTCCGCCGGCCACCTGCCATGCCAGGAGGAAGGCGCTCACGCTTGGTCTTTCTTGCCACAGATCTGCTGGACAGTAAAACCTTCTGCCGGGCCCAGCTCTCCATGACTACCACCAGTCACCTTCCTGTGGGTAAGTCGCACTGACATCGAGGCGGGTGCCCACAGAGAGGGACGGGTGTCACGGACCGTGGCTCTGCCTCGCCAGGCCCTGCCCACGGAAGGGCGTGGAGAGGGGTGGAGTGGCCACCGTGGGAGGCCTGCGTGGGGGCCAACATCTGGATACCCAGCAGTGAGTCCTCCAGCAGAGCGCGGGGCTCCTGGGAAGCCGTCACCGTTGTGACCGCGAAAGCCACTGGGGCTTTCCTCTCTCTTCTACAAAAACTTGCTCATGGGGCAGACCTGATAAGAGTATTCACACCTGTGTGAGCTTACGGCGAATAAGGCTGTGTTTAATCTTCGACAAACTGCGTTCGGCTTTAGAGAAGGAATGTCGTACAGTGAACTTGAGGCTGCAGGCCTGGAATGATTTCTGGGGGAAGGGTCGCCCCTGGGACTTTCTGGAAGCCCCGTGGCCACCCTGCTGTGGGTCTAACTTGGGTTGGCTCACGGGTGCTCCCAGGCCTGCCAGGTGAGAGAAGATTCCATCACGTGAGTGGTGTTTGGTTGAGACTGGGTGCGGCAGTGGCACCCAGACCTCTTGACAGATGACTCTGAGTGAGGTGTGGGGATGTCGGGAGCCGGGGACAGGGCACTCAGAGGCCCACCCCACCACAGAGCTCGCCGGGTGTCCAGCGTGAGAATCGGTGGCACAGAAGGTCTCCTGCCTTCCCTTGGCCTGGGAGCAGACGTCTGGGTCTCTGGGTCAGTCCCACCCAACAGTCCCACCCATCTCCAGGACCTGCATCTGGGGCGACCTCAGATCTGGGATCCAAGGAGGCTTGAGAGGGGAGGCCTACCGACTTCCTTCCTTTCTTCTGTTGTTGAGTGTTTTTGAGAACTGAAATAACGAAGCTTCTGGTTTGAGGGCTTGTCCGGGTCAAGCCGCTTGAGGGAGACAGGGCTGGGAACTGGTGCCCGAGCTTCTGGAACGGAGGTTAAGGGCAGGCCACGTACGCGCTCCATGCCCCTCCCCCACGGGTCACCAGCGGTGTTTGCTGAAACTTGGAACCAGAGCAAAGGATGGGCAGCCCCGCCGTGTGCACCATTCTGCAGAACTGAGCCGAGGGTGGATTCTGCGGCCACCAGCGGAGACCCCCTCCAAGGCCGAGGAAGCCCCTGTGGCCTCTGGTTTCCTGTCCAGCATTCAAGATGCCCATGCGTCCCGCAACCCATCTGGCGGGTCTTCGACTTAGGAACCAAGATTCCAGCCAGGAATGGAGCTGAGCCCGCAGCTGCCTGAGCCTTGGGGCCGTAAGCCTTGGGGTGCCGGGACCCCTCCAGGTCTGGTCACGTGTCGCCGCGTCTTCTTCCGATGTCACTTGCGCCTTCTAGAATCCCGGAACCGGTGGGGCCTGGAAGCCCGGCTGTGCTTCCCCTTTGCAGCGGCAGGAGCAGCGTCTGAGTCCCCGGTGGCTCTAAAGGGGTCTCTCAAGAGGGAGCCCCTGTGGTGCTGCCCTGGGCCCGTGTTCCCACCCACCCCAACCCAGGCTGGACGGCAGCCGCCCTGGGGGCCTGTGCTGTGTCTGGGCTGGTCCATTCTCTGAGGAGTGGCTCCAGTGGGGGAATCACAACCTTGTGTAGGTCAAGTCCTCCCCTCCCTGCCCCTTTCTCTCCTTCCTTCCCTCTTTCCCTTCCTCCCTTCCCCCCTCCTTCTTCCTTTCCTTCCCCTTTCCCTTCCTTCCTTCCCTCTTTCCTCCCTCTGTCATTCCCTTCTTTCCCTTCCTTCCTTCCTTCCTTGCTTCCTTCCTTCCTTCCAATGGGTTCTTGCTTTGTCGCCCAGGCTGGAGTGTAGTGACCTGATCATAGCTCATTGCACTCTAGACCTCCTGGCCCCAAGGGATCCTCCCGCCTCAGCCTCCCAAGTAGCTGGGACTACAGGCACATGCCACCATGCATGTGTTTTGCAAAGACGGGGTCTTGTTATTGTTGTTCAGGCTGGTCTTGAATCTCTGGCCTTGAGCAATCCTCCCACCTTGGTCTCCCAAAGTGCTAAGATTACAGGCACAAGCCAGGTCCCTTCGGAATTGTGTATGGTCTTTACCAGATGGGACCAGGACTCCCCCGGACGACCTGTCTTTTCCCTGAGTCTTTATACGTCAAACTCCTATCAACCTGAGTGCAGGGAAGTGTCTCTCTATGTCTCGGTGCAAGCTGTGAGCCGTGGGTAGGCGAGGCTGGTGTAAACTGATGCCCTGTGCGATAAGCGCGGGCGGGAACTCGGCTTTGATTCCCGGCCTCTGCCCACGTCATGAAATGGCCGCCGGTGGCCTGTCCTGCCAGCTCAGGCTTGATGTGTTTATCACCGGCCTTACGAGCCTGCAGCGAGGGTGGCAGGGCTGTGAGAATGCTGAATTTGTGTATCCCGTAAAGAAATGGCTCAGGGCTGAATCATATGCAAATGCGTCTAATCTCCTGCGAGGTAGCTTGACTGGGTCGTGCTCTGGCAGTCATCCTGCTGGGGCCGTTGGACCTCGGCCGGAGAAAGCCAGGCTGGACGCCTGCACCAGGGCAAGCCACTGCGGGCGTGAGTCACAGAACCACGTAGCCGGCTTCAAAGGCCTCGACTCTCCTTCTGGGCTAGGGGAGGGCAGGGGGAGGACGTCACAGATCAAAGGTCATCGGTGAGGGCAGTGACCCCATGGCTGCCCTGCACTGTGACCAGAGCGGCGACTGGAAGAACCCACGACTTTCTTTGGCCTCTGCTGCTTATTCCCTGTAGGATGAGGGAGGGATTTTTATTTGGGAATCTTATAAAAGTTTTCCTAAGCTGGATAGAGGTCTGGCCTGGGCAAGTGGCCGGCGTTCAAGGAGAGCTTTCCTCCTGGCTTGTCTGGTCTGGGTTTCACACAGAGCCCACAGGCTCCTGGGTGGCCAGGACCCCAGAAACTGGTGGCAGGTCCCATGGGTGCATGCGTTAAGTATGTGTTTCTGGGGTGAGGCCCAAGGTCTTCCTCAGATTCATAGGGAACCTCAGCCCCAAAGTGCTGATTCCAGATCAACTGGGAACACGTGGACGGTGACTGAGGTCCGTCCTCAGGAGATGCCTGGGCATCTGAGCTCAACCCTGGCCCGAAATGCTGTCCCCGCATCCCCCAGCCACCCTCGGAAGACAGCTTTGCTTGTGACTCGCTGGGTAAATGCCACTCTTTGTCTGCAGAACAGTGTGGCCCTGTCAGGCTGATGTGTCACTTGGAGGCCGGGGAGGGCTGCCAGGCCTGTCGCAATGTTGTCACATCCTGATGGGATGTTGCAACCCTGCCCGCGGCCAGTAGGGAGGGAGAGTGTGGGCTTGGCGCGCCCCGTGTGTCTATCCATCCCCATTTGGGAGAAGCCTGGGCCTGGCACAGGCCCTGCTGGCGATGTCTCCGAGAGGCCTGGCCGGCCTGAGGCTTCTAGCCCCAGGTCTCGTTCAGCCCCTCCCCCTCTCGCCCTGGCTTCTGGAGATGTCCTGGGGGCTGATTGGGTCAGGAGGCCAGTGGGTCCCACACTCTGGAGTGCAGCGCCGTCATGGGCTTGTCTTCCCGCCACCAAGGCATGCAGAAGCAAGTGAGCCTGGCCCTCGGCAGGAAAGACTCGTGTGGAGTCTGTGCTGAAGGAGGCGGCTGGTTTGAGGGCAGCATCTGGGTCCATGTTTTGTGCCCGTGGCCTATCTGAGTCAGGCTATGTGGCTGAAAGGCGTCAGCTGGCCTCTCTGTTGCTCAAACCTGCCGCTGCTGACAGCCGTGGGTCGCCACGACTCCCTCCTCGGGGGTTTCCCTGTGAGTTGAGCCAGGAGGGCCCTGCGGAGTGCGTGGTGCAGCCCCGGGCCTGGAGAGCGCTTGGCAGACGTGGCTCTTCCTAACCAGATCCCTTGGGAGTCAATGGCAGGTGGTTCATACACTTCTCCGAAGTGGACACTGCAACCGTTGAATGGATGCCACAGATCCTCCCCTTTGCACACAGTGTCGGTCAGTCTAGATGCCCAGAAGGCTGCTCGACTCAGTGGCCAGTGAGGGAGCCCTGAGGCTGTACAGGTGAGGGCCACCTTCCTGAAGGACTGGCTGTATTTAGGGGGCACTTGGGACCAAAATCATCTGGCTTCTGACCGTGGGTTTTTTGGCAAGATCTGCCTTGGTCGTCCCAGCACCCCAAGGGCCCTGAGACATACATGCACACATGCACACACATATGCACTCACACGCATGCATGCACATGCACATTTCTGGATGATCTAGCTTTTTTCTCAAGAGGAGCTTCGAGTTTGCAGCTCTGCCTCTGCCGTGCCTTAGTGACAGTGGCCAGGGCTGTCATATGAGTCATTTGTTAAACTGATTGTGTCCCTATCCACGGTAGCCCTCTGCACTGAACTCAGGCTGCTCAACCGGGACCCCTTTGTCAGGCTGATTAAAATGTAACTTTGCATGCCAAAAGGGGCGCGCCTTTGGCTTGAAGCCGCCTTTCTTTGTAATGAATGTTTACATTTTTATATTATGTAAAACAAAACCTCCCAATGACCCAAATCTTTCATGACTTCCATCTCTCAGGAAAGTCCTTAAAAGGCCCCATGAGGCATTTGATCAACCCCAGCCCCTCTCGCTGTCTCTGCTCAGAGCCACACGTGCACCCAACACATGGTGATCTCAGGGCCTTTGCGCTTTCACCCACCTGTGCAGAAGGTTGTCCTGCAGGCTTACTCAGTGCAGCACGGCTGTCTGCCTGGGGCCGGTTGAGATGCTGAACCAGTGAGGTCTCTGCCACTGCCCCGTGTTAATTGCATATTATTCCCACCTCTGTCCCTCCACCCCCATTTCTTGCCCTGCACCATTTTTCTCCCCAGCATTTGACATCTCTGTCCTGTTTGGTGCACAATCACATACCCAAACTGTGCCAGGCATGCAGTAAGCACTCAGTAAATAAGTGAGAGCATATGAAAAAGCAAATGAGACTTGTAGGGGATGGTGCATTAAGTGGCTCCCATTCTCCTTGGCAGAGTCTCCTGAGGTGAAGAAGGAGCAAGACCCCCCTGCCAAGTGCCACCCCAAGAAGCACAGTAAGTGGCCCTTGCTGTTCCCATCGCGTTGGGTGTGTTGGGAGGCCCAGTAAGTCCCGTGTGGCCTCGGCCTGCTGCCTCCATTTCTTCCCCTGGGTGGAGGGGGAGTGGAGATGTCACCTCCTGACTGACAGAGTCACGCTCTGCAGCTGTCCCCACTGGAGCCCCGCGTGCGTTTCCCCTCATCCCGCCATGTCTGTTCTGAAACCGAGGCATGCCTCCCCACGCGGTGGCCCTGGTATTCTGGGAAATGGCCGCTTGTGCTCCAGCGCCAACACCGCTCTTTGGGATGAAATCTCTGAACTTGTGTGAAATGTCAGAGACATAAGGGCGGTGGGTAGAAATCAAGATGGCCAATCTGGAGGTGACAGGGAACCAATGCAACCCTGGAATGGGGTGTGGGGCCATCACAAATCCAGTGGGAGTGATTGAACTTGGTGGCTAAACTCATTTCCAGCTGGGCACCACCCGCTGTGGAATCCCCTCCTCCTCTCCTTAGGGGTTGAAATTCTGGAGCCCTGCGGGTTTGCCCTGCGGGGAAGCATGGCGGCTGGGCGGGAAAGTTGGACTGGCTGAGCTGCTGGGTGAAAGGGCTTGGACGTTGCTCCCTTCACGTTGACATGAACCCAACCACTGTGAATAATCGTCAGGTGACCCTTCCCGGGCTCGGGAGACCCAGGGTCCGATACTCCGTCTTGGCTTTGCCACACATTAGCCGTGTGACCCTGGTCCAGTTGCTACCTCAGTCCTGGTTCGTGAGCACTGTGCGAGTTCACTCTCAAATGCCTTTCTGCCCACGCTCGGGGGTCTGTGGCCCTCTGCCCCTGGGAGCGTCAGTCTTGACGGGAGCCACTGTAGCCCCAGCCACCTGCCCGTTCAGGCCACCGACGTGCCCCTGCTCTGCTTCCCATCAGACCCGAGGGGGACTCACTTGTGGGAGTTCATCCGAGACATCCTCCTGAACCCAGACAAGAACCCCGGGCTGATCAAATGGGAAGACCGGGCCGAGGGCGTCTTCCGGTTCCTGAAGTCGGAGGCCGTGGCGCAGCTTTGGGGCCGGAAGAAGAACAACAGCAGCATGACCTACGAGAAGCTGAGCCGGGCCATGCGGTAAGTGGTGCGCTCGGCGTGCGCGGCTCCCGGTCCAACGGCCACCGCCTCACACATCCCCCATTGCAGGTACTACTACAAAAGGGACATCCTGGAGCGCGTGGACGGGCGGAGGCTGGTCTACAAGTTCGGGAAGAATGCCCGGGGATGGAGGGAAGACGAGAACTGAGGCTGCTGGCGTGCGGACGCTGACCCGGACACGCCGCCAACCACAGCCCCCAGAGCGCCTGGACGCAGGCCTGCCGAAGACCACCCTTCTCTGATATTCATGTACTGCTAACGGGAAGAAGGCGCAATACAGCTGATAAAACATGATGTTGTTACTTTGAAGTATGTCCTATCCGGGGAACAGACGCACACAGCTCTCTGTGGACCGCGATGCCGTCGAGGGTGTGATGCGTTTCTGCCGCTGTTGTGAAGTTCTTTCCTCGGCGGGAGCGACAGGGCGTGCGACCTCGTGCTTCTCGCGAAGGGAGAGGAAAAATCCGCGGGCATTAAATGTTTTTGTATGCAAAAGGTGATGCACACCCACGCGGGAGACCCCACGGCCTCTCCGGGAGAGGTGGGCGCGGGTATAGGGTGAACCCAGGGTCTCGGGTGGGTGGAACAAGCCGGAAGGAGGCCGGGAGGCTCAGCCTGGACTTCGGGGTGTGGTGAGTGGAGAGTGGGGACATTCACGGTGGGCTGTGATGGCCGCACCTCTGCCAGACTTGGTTCAAGTCGGGGGGAAGCATCTCGGGGTCCCAGTGCTCACTCGGGGCGTTCGCTCAGGCCAGCCCTCCTTCCTCCCTGGCTGGTGTCTAGGAGGGGCCCAGCCTCGGCTGCGTTTGTTCCGACGGCTTCAGCACAAGCTGGGGGGGAGGTGGCGGGGAAGTGTCTGCTGCCTCGCCCTGTCGCCTGTGTTCTGGGTCTCTCCGTGGCACGACGGGCACTGTGGCGGGCTCCTGCTTTGTGGCGAGATGTCCCACCCTCGTGAGGAGCTTGGCAGCACCTGTGACCTCTGCCCACTGGAGGCCAGAAGCATCCCCCAGTATGACAACTCCAGACACCACCAAACGTCCTCCAGGTTGAGTTTGGTCAGTCAAGATGCAGGTGGTGACGAGTTCTCAGAACGAAGAGGTGTGCAAGGTCTTTCAGCCCCCAGAGTAAAGCAGGACAGGACTTCCAGGTCAGCCTGTCTCTGGTTTCCAGCATGTTCGGGGCCGGGGGTTGAGATGTCTAGATGCGTGCCGAAGTCAGGCTAGCTGAGTGTCACAGCGTGACCGGAACCACCCAAGAAAACACTTCCACCAGGGTTGAGCTTTACTGCAGGGACACTGAGGAGGGCCTTCGGGGACAGGCCTCTCTGGGGGACTTGGTCTCCGCATCTCTCCTCTGCGGGACGCCTTTTCCTGTCTCACCTGGACTCATCCTGTGGTATGGCTTGCTGCCTAACTTGCATTCAGAGAAATATTATGGGGGAAAAAAGGCAAGAAAGAAATAATGAAAAGGCAAGCAGAAAGTTCAGCTCAGGAGCCCTTGTCACCTAACAGTGCAAGCTCCTCCCTGAAGGGCCCGCCTGGGTCCCTGGAGACTGCTCCCTGGGCTGTGCAGTCAGAGTGGGAGTCCCAGGAGCTTTGGAAATGGTCTGAGCATCCCACCCTTGAAGCCGTGCCTGGTCTCCCCACGTCCTGGGCTGCTCCTTGGCCCTGCCTCTCCTTCTCGGGCTGTGATGGGTGACTGGAGACATGTCATGGGGTGGGGGGGCGCTCTCCCTCAGCCGACAGAGCACCCGTCCCCCTCACCCCCTCGGAACAGCCCTGTTCCAAGCTGGCCATGGCTCTGTCATGCATTCGGAAGGCCGGAAGCCAGAAGAATAAGGGGTTTGTTGTCGCTGAAACAGAACCATCCTGGGGGTGGCCTGGGAGCAGCCCTGAATGACCTTCAAGGGTCCTTGAAGATAGCCAAGTCCGTCTTTATCTCTGCCGGACTTGGTGGGCTCCACAAGGGTGTGACCTGGTGTCGCCAAGCAGCAGGGCACAGCAAAGGGCAAGACAAGGCCACTCAGACATCCCACTGCTTTCCAAGGTCACGGCTGCGTTCCAGGCAGGGGTTCAGGGCCAAGGAACCCGGCAGTCATGTAGAGCGAGCTAAGCCTCCAGGTGTCTGAGCTGGGGAGATGCATAGATGCCTGGGCCTCTGGTGGAGTGATGTCCTCAGGACGCCTGTGCCGCTCCCGGTGCCTTCCTGGCTCTGCCTGTTGGTCGCCCATGGTGCCCCCGGCCCCTGCTCCCCTCCTCGAGCCTGAACCTGTCGGCCTCTGTCACCCCGGGCTGGTCTCAGCTCTTTGTGCAACCCTTCTTTCCACAGACAGTGGTCCTGGGGGAGTCGATGATGTGAAGCCCTGACAAGAACGCTCTGCAGGCCCCTAGTGGGTCGTGCTGCTTGCTAAGAGGGACAGCTTCTTGGCCCCGCGCTCCTGTTTAATCAGGTTGGAGGGCTCTGTTCTCAGCTCATCCCGGTCGTCTCGGTTTGGCTTGCTGCGCTGTCTACGTGCTGTTTGTGCCTCAGTGGACGCTGGGCCTTTGCGCTGTGCCAGCCCGGGAGTGTGCAGGGCGCCACCCCACGGTGCTGAAGGGGAGCAGAGTCCCCGGAAGGAGCCCTGCTCTGAGGGGGACACGCAGCTTCTCCCTGGAGAGACGTCCCTGTGGCCATCAGACACCGTCTCCCAAGGCCCCAAGAGCTTGGGCTTAACCTGGGGGTTCTTCTGACGAGCAGCTGTGGAGACCCGAGGCAGGAAGGGCACTGTTAGGGCTTCACCAGGCTGGGCTCCTCAGAGGCTTCTGGACATTTGGCCGGGTCACGCGTGAGCATGGCCCTGGCTCCCAGGCATGTGTTCTCAGCTCCTTGAATGTGTCCTGGGGCAGGGCAGACCCGGGTCACGAGTTCTCCCTTGGACACTCTGGTCCTTCCCTGAAGGGCCAGCCTGGCTAGAAGGAAAGCTCCTTGAAGATAGCACTTACCATACTTCCCCTGGCCTGGCATGGGGCAGGCATGCTTTAAGTATTTGTTGAAGGAATGAGTGAATGAATGAATGAATGAATGAGTGAATGAATGTCTGCTGGCAGATTCCTCCGATTGGGAGGCCGTGTCTAAACTGGGAAGTGAATCCTTCCTTCCCTGGGATAAGAATATGGCAGACAAGCCTCAAGGACATGCTATCTGCGGACATTTCACTGTGAGACTGTTTCGCCTTCCTGCCCACGCTGACATGAACCCGGGACAGGCCGTCTGCTTCCATGGGCCAGTGCGTGTCGGGTGGCCTTGAGCTGCCTTCCAGGGAACCGTGAGACCATCTGGCACGAGAGGCCAGTGGTGAGCCTTTGACCTGTTTCAACCAATGAGGATGACACATGTGTTTATATGATGCAAATTGCTATTTAAGTGTAAAGCTGTTCCAAGTCTTAGTATCTGGGATTGGGTTTTATTATTTTTTTCTTTTTGAAAAATACTGAGTGATCTTCTGATAAGGCTAGTCAAGCAAGTCAGACTTTGGTCTTAACGCGGGTTGTTTTCAACTGTATAAGGGAGAGAACAGGCCAACCAGTGAGAGGGAAGGCGATTATATTATTTTTCTGTAGCTAAAGCAAAAAGCACTTGTGAGCACCTCCTGTGTGCCCAGGGACCGCGTGCGGGCCCGTCTGGGATGAGGGCTGTCTGGGCCTCCACGTGTTCCACTGGGAATGCCGCGGCCGTGCCGTGCCATGCTGACTGGGCTGCTGCCTCTCAGCCGTCAGCGTCGGAGCCTACAGCGACCCTGTCCTACGCACCTCTGACGTGGGCAGGTCCGCGGGTGCGCGCTGGGATCTGTCCTTCGGCTGCTGTCTGCAGAATTCCGGCTTTCCTTCTCATTTGCTTCTGGGTCAACAATCTGTGGCAATTGACGTTTTCTACATCAGAGACCTTTCCTGTAAGCTGTGTTGAGTCCAGACTGAGAATTTCTGTTTTATGAAAGACTATATTTTTCAAAATATGTTTTTTTGTTTGATGGGTCCCGGAAAACATGAATAAAAACCATGGAATGCAGCCCGGAAGTGTGTGTTTGTTCCTCAGCCAGGGGTCCACGGCGCCCAGAGGCCCACACGGGGTCTGTTGCAGCATGACACACGGCTTGTGCGTTCTTCACTCAAAGTGCACGTTGCGTGTGCGATGCGCCAGACACTGTTCCCGATACCAAGTCGCAGCCAAGCACGAGAGAGACAAGAATCTCGACTCCTGATGAAGTGGCTGTTGCACTGGGTGGGAAAAGACAAGAGAAAACACGAGCAAGTACAGGACAGGACCTCGAATGTCAGAGGTGGAGAAAAGAGACGTGGTGTGGGGCGGGGAGAGAGGGGGGCTCGCAGGGTGCCGGGAGGTGTCAGTGGGTTGGGAAGGACACGCTTCCTGAGGGCCCAGGGACCCGAGGGGGCCCACGTGGACAGGGATCTGTATAGAAGGGAGCCACAAGGACCAGGTCCCGAGGCAGCGTGGCCCCTTGTGTCCACAGAACAGGGAGGGAACCTGCTTGCAGGACACGGGGAGAGGAGGCCGTGGCCGGGCCATGCAGAGCTGGGAGGGTCCTGTGCCTGGATGGGGCCTGGAGTGGGGCCAGCTCAGCCTCTGGGCCAAGGGAGCTGGGTGTGGGGGACGGCTGCAGGGTGGCACATGCAGTGAAGACGGGCTGGGAGGTGGAAGGTGTCCCTCGCCCGCCCACCCAAATGGTGCTGGAGGGTCTCGGAGGGAGCAGCTCTCCTGGGCCACCGCTCGCCTCTCCAGGGGCCCACTCAGCGGTCCTCCGTGACCACAAAGCAACAGCCGCCACCCATCTGAAAAGATTCGCTCCGCCTCAGCACTGTGCCATGTTTCTGCACACCTTGTTGTGTTTGATCCTCACACCAGCCTGGTACACGCATATCATCCTCCAATTTCAGAGGAGGGAAAGGAGGCTCAGAAAGGGTCAGTGACTTTCCCAAGGTCACACAGCTCGGAATAAGTGGTAGATTCCACACTGTTTGCCCACGCCAACTCCATGTCCACGTGCTAACCCTGAGTCCGTTTCTCTAGTTCCTTGGGATGCCGATGGGCACACACGTGCACACATGCATGCACACAGACACGCACACACACACGCAGGTTTCTGAGGCTGAC